AATAATAATAATAATGATTATTATTATTATTATTACTGTTATTATTATTATTATTTTGTACTTGTGGTTTAGTAGAAATTGTTGAATTGTGTTTGCTTGGGTAGCTTTTTTTATACAAATGTAATAATATTTTTAATTCATTTCATCATCAATTTATTAAAATTGGAAAAGCTAACAATATGATGCAACAATTTGGGATCAAAAATGATAACAAAATGATTAATTCAACTACTAGCAGTCATTATCATTTATTGCATAATCTTTTAGCGATTGTTAAAGTTTTAATGATAAATTTTAAACCATGCTGAGTTCTTTTATAAATGCAGGTGTAGAAATTCTGCTAATATTTTTATATTTCAAAAAAAAAATATTAACTTAACAAATCATCAGTGGCCTTTTTGACTTCTTTTTGAAATTTACAAATCTTTTTTTTTTGTTTTTCGATATTTTATAATTTTTTCCGGACAAAATTGTTGAGCGCAAAACCCGCTTTGAATAGCGCACAAATTTTTGTGAGTTCGATAGCTAACAGTGCATGTAACATGCATTACATGTTGCATGCAGGCTGTTAAATAATAATGCATGCATTTATTCTTCACAGTATATTTATCTATTAAGTAATGCTAACATTTTTCGTCGTCTCATGAGTATTGCGAGAACTAATTAAGACATTTCAAATTTACTAATTTATAGCTATGGAAAGCAGCAGGAGAACCTGAACAACAAACAAATGTGAAATGTTTTGATCCGGAAAGAAACAATTATTATACGTAATGAATTCGTATAAGTTTAATCAATCGATCAAAAATCATTTCCGTTGAAGACGCGACTTCCGTAAAATATGAACTTAGCTTCCTCAAAACTTTCTAAACTTAACTTTCAAAACTTTTTATTTAACTTTCCAACTGTTGGCAGTTCACAAATCATCAATTACCTGATTTAGAGTTTTGTCGTGTTTCTTTCATCTTTCAGTATCAGTGTGATGTTACAATTTGAATTTCATACTAATATTAATTACTGCCTTTAAAAAAATTAAGAGATTTATTATAGTAATTGAAAACAAAGACGTCGTGCGGCGACATTTTAAAAGTAACCAATGTTTAAAATGACGACTTATCGGTTCGGTTAATTCCGAAGTTTACAATCTTTTATTTCAAATAATTCAATTTAATTTAAAAGAATAGGTCAATAATTTAAATGACCATAGGTGTAAATGAAGTGAGCTGAAATAAGGAAAAGAAAAAGTTTGAAATTTTAAAGAATATTTCAGTCCTGAATTGGGTTTTTGTGTTTATGGAATTAATTATGAAATAAACGATGACGCATTTACTTTTGATGAAAAGTTATATTTTAATTACAAACAATCATACGATGATAGCGATATAACGATGGATGAATTTGAGACAGCGGCGAAACCTTTGTGTGACAAAATTGGAAATAGTACTGCAAATGTGACATATTATGGTGCATGGGTTAAAGTAAGCTTAGACAATACTTATATACTCACTTATTAAATTAATTAATTGAATAAAATAGTTTTAAAAAAAAAGATCAAGCTTTAGCAAACTATATGATTATGCAAATTATACATAACTATTAGAAAGCTAAAGACAAACTATTTGCAAAAAAATTAATTAATTACTAAACAACACTTAATTTCCTAACAATTATATATAATTTGCACAATCATGCACATTGCTGAAGTTTAATTCAATTAATTACTTTACTGTAAATTTATTTTTAATGAACAAAAAAAAAACAACGATAAATAATTGGAGGTTTTCAAATCACACAAAGTTTGATCCTGAAAGCAATTAATTAAATCTTTTTTTTTATGTTAAAGCTCCTTCTTGTATAAATTGTAAAGAATGGCATTTGTCATCATAGCAGTCATATATTCTGGCTAAAATGGACATTTTTAAATTTGTTATTCCAAATTACTGTATCTCTTAGTTTGTTTTTGGTAGTAAAAAAAAATGACGTATTTGTTGCAGACAAAAGCGAACACTTACAAAGATATTTTTATGGGCTGTTGTAAATCATGCCAGATGTTAAGTACAATCCAATGGCTTATCACATTAAAAACTCAAATTGTCACTTTGTCAAAATTTGGTCTTCGACGGGAAGATGCATTGGTTTTTCGAAAAGAAGAAACTTTTTTCATTGATACATACTACATAACAGCTAAACAAAATCTTGATAAAATTCCGGCATGTGCATTGTCAACGTATGATCTCGTACGTGTAATTCATTTTTTTTTATTTTACCACTTAATACTCACGTAATTATTTCAATTAGTTGCAAAATTGCAGTCAATTAACAAAATGAATCGTTAGAATCCATTGCTTCTTTCAATATTTGCATAAATCATTTTAATTAATTACAAAAAAAGAGTGGACAAAAATTAAAGTTAATTAGCAGAATGAATTATTAGGAACAGTAAAGATGATAAATGAAAATACTGAGTGATTAAGTGATTTGTCGTGAGAGTAATTTACTGATAATATCTACGATTATCTCAATAAATTTTGTTTATCAGCGATAATTCCTAATCTAATCGAACGATACTTTAAAAGATTGTTAAAATGTGTAACGTACATATTGTTATTGATTTATGAAAATGTATTGTCAAAATTTGAAAAACAGAAGTCGTGTTCAAAAATTAATTAATAAAATTAGAAATGTTTCAGAGAGTTTACTCTTTTTTTTTACTTAGTTAAAATTTCGTTATTCTCATTTCGTATAAATCACATTTCAGATTCCTGTACTACTTGGAAATCACGTTGGATTTGCGGCTGGATTCGATCGATTAAACTGGGAAAGTTTACTTTTACGTGCACTTGCACCACGACGTCAAAAACACGTTGGTTATATAGGGCGATACACGTCCGCTATTGCAAACAAGTACAGACAGAATCATTGTCTAAATACATATGCTATTAGTAGTTTTAGTTTTTTTTTTTGTACGACAATATTTGACGTAAGTATGCTTGCGTAATGTTTAAAGTACTTACGTTTCAGCCTTACAGTGAATGTCTTGTATATGTGTTGTTGACAAAACATTACGGATACGAATGTTGTTGTTATGGTGATAGAATTGCCTATTGCCAAGGTTAATGAATTTTAAATTGTTGCTTTTTTGAATATTATCATATCTATGATTGCATTAGCATAAGTGATAAAGTAAATGATTTAGAAAAATTTTTCAAACTTTCCGTAATTTGACGTGTATTTATTGCGTGATACGTGCATAATGCATTTAAAATAAATGTTCCGTTCATTCTTTGAAATGTTTGTTAATGTAAATTTTATTGCAGAACGAGTAAAGAATGCCATAAAAACTGGTGCAAATGATGGCGTATTGCGTGGAAAAAAAACTTGTATTATTGATAAGGATAGTTTAGGTTATAGATCAGCGGTTAACTTTAGGACTGATGGGATTGAATTCAGAGGCGATGTGCACAATTTAATGAATCATATGGAACGAACTGTAATAAATTAAAACTGTTATATATATGTTTTTTTTTTGTGATAACAGCATTAGAAACGAATGAAATATTTAAATTTTACTAATTAAAAGTAATTATTGTTATTAGAACAAAGTATTTATTCAAATTCAAAAGTATTTATTTCAAAGTATTTATTCAAAAAAAGTATTTATTCAAATTTCATCAAAATCGTTTGGAATTTGTTTACTTCTTTAAGTAATTTCCACTTTCATCATTTATATCTTTTAATCAAATTGCAGTTTTGTGAACTTCACTTAAAATTTAATGGCACCAAACAAGTAAATATTTCTTTCAATAGTTATTTTACAATGGAACGATTTTCCTTATCATATCAAGAAGCAGCAAGGGCTACTGAACAAATGACCATTTCGGATTTGGATGAATTACGCCAAGAAAAACATTTGGTCGTAGGATTTGCAATGATAATATTTTTACGAGATCAATTTTTTTTTAATTAATTAGATTAATGAGTACAATGACTAATTCTAGTAGTAATGAATAGTAAGAATAGCTTATAAAAAATAAAAATATTTCATTTTTCTTTTAGTTGTTCATTTTAAATTGACACAAGGATACAAAGATTTATTAAATTAAATTAAGTTAATGTGAGAAAAATACATTTCAGTCTTTGATTTTAAAGTTTTACAAAAATACAAGTATTTATTATCTTGATTTAAATTGATATGGTAAAAAATACATTTACTCAGTTATTCATTCAAAGTTGTTCAAAGAATTGATATTTATTCATTCAATTTAAATTGATATAGAAAAAATACATTTAATTAATCATTTACTCCAAAACCACTTTTCTCCTCAATCTTTGGTCATTTGACTTTTTTTAAGTTTGATTTCAGTCTAATCAACCTATTTTATCACTTCTAAATGGTATGGAAGATGATTATATGGAAAAAACGGGTCATTATGAGAAATTAATTGAACAAAGCGTTAATATCACCAATTCACTTCAATGTTTTAATTTGAGTAATTGGGATATTCGAATTCATGATATCTTACGATTTCATTGCACACAACTTTTACGTTTGTCAATTTGCTCCATTTAATTTTTCCTCCCTTCATATTACGAAAATTTTGCGATTAAAATGATATCAAAGTTTTTTTGATTTTGACATTTACGCTCATCTAATCTTTAGAAAAAAAAAAGCGAAACAAGCAAATTATTCAAAAATTATTCAAAGAAGCTTTTATTACAGGCTGATCATTCGAAATATTTAATAATTTCGAATTTTCTTTTTTTCTTACAAATTAATTCGATGTTTTCTTTTTTTGCTTACTTTGTAAAATTGCGCAAAATTAATCCATAATTATTGATAATCTTTTTTTTTTTTTTTTTTTTTAGCACTGGATGCGCAATGTCCTTTTAATAGTTCCAGAACTTTGAAACACCAACATATCATGTGTTGCTGTAACGATTGGTCGTTTTGCAACTATAATGTTTGTTAGAGAACTTTGAATGTCTCATTGACAATAATTTCTTTTAATTAATTATTTAAATCACACTTAAGCGATTGCAATATTATTAAGCAGGTTGCAGGAAATTAAATTCGAAATTAAAACTGTGGAAATGCTTTTCAATTAATATTAATGAAAATTCTGTTTGAATTTCCATAAAAAAGCAGCAATATTTACGTAATTCTCAGCAAAAAATACTGCTCTTTAATTTAAAATATTAACGAAAAAAAATTCGATTTACTTTATTCTATTCTGAATATTTTTAAGTAATTAATTTAATAGCACCGATAACATTTTGATAAAGTTGATAATTTTCAAAATTATTTTTCTTAACGCTCTCATAACTTTTTCTTAGGTTGATATAATAAATCGTACAGCTGTACAATCAATTCCAAATTTATGTGCCTATAATAATGAATATCAGTACTTTCTACATGATTATTTTTATCCCTCTCAACCGGATGCTAATCATTCATGTTTATTACATCTTGTTACCGGAAATGCTCTTCGTGATATGAACCGTTTTTTTCCACGTGAAGATTCTGTTATCTTTTTTTTACCCGGTATTTTAGTTTTCGAATATATTTGATCATTGTTTCATCTAATCATTACTAATTGACGAATATTAATCAGATATTATTATCAATATCATCAAATTATTTGTAATGCAGAAAATTATGTTTCTTTTAGGCTCAGCCATACAACCAATTGATTTTTCGTATGCATTATTGAAACCTAATGAATGTGATTATATTGATGTTGATGTTAGTTTAAAGCCTATTCTTATCACTTATTTAGATCAACGAAGCAAACTTATCAGTGTATGATATGTATTAATATTCAGGGCCTATAAATGATGTTATCACTTATTGTTTATCAGCCTAAACTTATTTAAAAAAATTTTTTTTTCTGGAAACAATAATTTGCATTTAAAATTTTAGTACTGTGAACTGATAGCTTAAAATTTTTTATAAAAATGAGTGAATTTGAGCCATTTACAGTTGAAGCATGATTATCTTCAAAGTCGTTATTGCTATGAATCAACCAAATCATTGAAGTATTTCGAGACACGATACATGCCGATGAGATTATTTGCATGTCGTTGTCAAACAGCGCCCGGAAATGTCCCCTGTGATAGTATTCTAAAGCAAACTATCGCCAAAAAGGCTAAAGATTCAGTAAAAAAAATTTTTTCTGTCTTCTGAAAGATAAATTTTTTCACTTCCTCTAATCATTCGTCTGAGATAAATTAAAATTTGAAATCATTTTAATTAAAATAATTTTAAAATGAACCTCTATTTTTGATGATAGTTTACTTTCTTTATGCATGTGTCGGCATGCACCTTCATGCACAACTATATACATAAATGCGCAACTGTCCTACAGTTATACATTTATGCAACGAGGATTCATTGTTCTCAGCATGATCATTATGGCCTAATAATTTATACTCGAAATTTCTTGACACAAATTGACTTTAGATGGAAGTCACGGTGGTTTAGGCTTTTTCGCAACTAAGCTTAAAGTTTCAGCATCAAAGCCTATGATAGTTATTGCTTATCACTAAAAGCATCAAAGCTTATGATAGTTATTGCTTATCACTAAAATTGGTGTAATAATATCGTAATTAAATTGTACATCAAAGATTATTTCACGACATATGCAAAAAAGAAAAAAATCCATTGGTTGAATAAATGAGTATAAAAGGAAAAGTGAATAAACAAGTTAACAAAGAATGCAATCAATTAATTCTATCCTAATAATTATAAAAAATTTATCGAAATTTATTCCAAGAAAAAGGAAAAGAAATAACTATCACAGACTTGGATACTAAAACTTTAGGCTCAATTACAAATAAGCCAAAATCATTATGGGTTTCATCTGTATAATTGTTTTGTTAATGAATTATGTACCCAACAATCATATATTCACTAATGATTTCTATCACTGATACGATGATATGAAAAGGTTCGATTTGGTCATTGGTCACATCGAACTGAAAATGTCAAATGAAACATTGTTTCATCAGCTTAACATTGAGTAGATGGAGAAATTGAGTTATCAAGAAATCAGATTTGACGATAAGTACGGAAATGACTGTATCTTAACGATGCTTATCAGGCTATGTGAGCTAGATGTGTTATACTGGTCACTAAGCTATTTCGTCCAATTTTTTTTTCATTGATTAACTTGTAGCTTAAATAATTAAAATTACAGTAGGAACTGATGAAATTACTTTGAAATTTTTGAATTTGTTTTTTGAATAAAATACAGAAATCGTCCTAAAATTCAAACTGAACAAAGTTCTACATTTCCGAAAATATATTGGCCATATTTCTTAGTATCATTAACTTGACCTTAGCTAATCTATCAATTATTTGACCTTACCCCATGTGTATAAAATTTTTGGAATAATATCATTACTGCAATACTTCAATACTTATCAATTATCACATTCAGATGAACTAATTATTTACAAATGATTTTATTAAATCGAATCAGTTTTATTTCTTGCATAATTTCATCTTAGAATCGAAAGTATTACTGTGCAGAATACAGTGGTCAACAATCAGTGATATTTAATGAGAAGCCAAGGATTAAAATGAACGATTTGTCACCATACTGTGCGACAATGTTGGATTTTAAAGCAATTGGCAACAGTTCGTTATTTTTCTCGTCATTTGTTTGTTTGTTTTTTCAAACTTTTCAAAATAAATTAATTTGAACAATTTCAAGAAATTTATTTGATTGTTTTGAAGTTAATCTCGCGACTCTTTTTTAAACTCACAAGATTTTAAAATTAAATCAGTAACTGATATCATAGTATAACACATTTTCTGAAGTTTATAAATTTCAAAAAAAAAAGAAAAGGATATATAAGTTAGAGGTGCTAATGTGAATGATAGAAAAGAATGATAAAGAAGAGTTTTTTTTTTGCTTCGAATCGCTTTATGTCATATCTATCTTCAGAAATAAAAAAATGACAAATTCTTTCATAAATACTCAAATCTACCTGTAAAATTATAATCCTAATGCTATAAATTAAAATCAATGTATTATTGATGTGATATATTTTTGATCTTTGCTACCAAATTTTTTTGAATTTGAATGGTAATCTTACTTTTATACTAATTTAAACCTAAATGATAATTTTTTTTTTCAAAAGAAAAAAATGAGGAGTACTTTTATTAATTTTTGCAGATTTTTATTATGCATTTAGTGGAAATACGGTTCGTAGAAATTTTATAAATCGAGCAAAATTTAAATTGGCACTGATTCCATATGCAATGTATACATTGTGAGTTTTCTTCTCTTAACTATTTTATCCATCATAACAATTCCATTCATTTATGATCACTTTAACTTCATCATTTTGACATTATTGCTTTGATTTTATTACATTTACCTCATCACTTCAGTATTATGACTTTGAAATTATCGTCTTGACTTCGTTATTTTGACATCATCAGCTTGATATTACCAGTTTGGTACCATAACTTTAACATTGTCATTTTGACTTTGCCATTTTGACATTATCACATTATCACTTTCATAATTTCAACTTTTAGAATTATTTTTGTCAACTTGATCTTCATTGATAAATTAATTCCCATTGAAGTGAACTATATATTTCTTTCATACATCCAAAAATTTGTTGTATTTTTTTAAAAAAAATTTTTTTAGAACGTCAACGTATTTTTTAAAACGTCAACTTCAATTGATAGCAATAATGTGACAAGTGAAAATGTTTTGCTGTATTAATTATAACTAGAACCAAAATGCACACAACTAAACTGAAACGACTTTAATTAGCTAGCATTGTGATTAATTTTAATTTTGATTAAACAATGAATCAGGATTTTGTTTTATTTTAATTATTCCATTTCAGATTAGAAGTAAAATGTAAATTTGTAGATCAGGTGAAACGACACAACTATGCATACATCTGGTGACAGGTGAAATGATAATGTGCATTTGTCGCAATGATTATGAAGATCGTAAACCATGCAATTTAAATCCGCATGAGAAAGGCAAAGCATTACAACTTGCGATTTATGAAACGGTTTCATCCATAGTAAAACATTTTAATTATTTTATTTCAAAACAACATTACTTTAGAATGTATAAGTGAAGGTATAAAAACGTTTAAGTTTTACATAAAAATTTATGTAATTTTCGTATCAACTGATAAGCTATTTCTGATAATATAAGTTTAACTATAATCTTTATATGATAATATAAGAAGCACTAAGTAAAAATAGAACTTTGATAATGATTATATCATATCATTCGTAGTTTACACGTATAAAAGGTGTGTGTGATTTAGTGCAATTTTTTTCGATAATGATAGTTATTGTTTGTTTTTTTTTCTCGATAATTAGTAAATATTGTTTTTAAGACTCGAAAAATATTTCCAAATGAATTGGCAGAGTACACAACGTCAAAAGAACCAAAATGGTGTCATAGTAAAAGTGTTTTCAGTACGATTATTGTTAATTGTTAGTTATCAAATAATTATCAAAATGAAATTTTGATAAAATTTCACTTGAATACTTCAACAATATGCCAAAAGAATGATTACAAAATGCTTCTATTAATTTGAACAATTAATTAAAATGTCTCATTCCAAACGAGGGAAAGAAAGAAAATACAAACCCTATTTCTTAATTAGTCAATTAATTCAACTCGAAGTTTAAATTAATTTTTTTTAAAATTTTTAGAATTTCATGATTTACAGGTGAAGAAAAAGAAACAAAAATAATAAGTGCATGCACAAAGAAACCATCAAAATTTAGTGAGGAAGAAAGTAAAGTTGAATTGTTATTTTTCCTTTTTTTAAACGAATGATTTTATCATAATGTTTTATAAATGTTAATTTCAATGATTTCCTAAATGTAATACTTTATTATCAGCGAATTTTTATAATATCGTTCAAAATGATTAATTAATTTAGTTGACAAATTTGAAAATTTTACATGAATGTGGAATTCAATCTTAATATTCAAAAAATATTTACTCATTTGTTTATATCATAACTTCTTCTATCAGAAGCACCGAAAAATTACCAATAATACTAATATAAACATAGTTTTGTTTGATCTTTATTCTTCATCAATGGTACTAATTTGTTAGTTAGTTGTGCTCTGATAGAAATTAATTGGCTATTTTGATAGTTAGAAGTTAGCTGTTTTGATAGCTAGAAGATGAAATCAATATTCATAATAAATATTAAATAGTTTTGATCTATATCTTAACACAGAGTAATCATGAATACTCTTTTCTTTTTGAATTTGGTATATTTTGTAGGCTTTATGTCGTATAACGATTTCAATCTAAGTCTAAATTATTGTCATTTTATTTAAGACTACGAAATTTAAACTCTATTTAGATCAAGATCTAGTTTGCGCCGAAAAATTGTTCTATGAGGAATGTGGCATAGTATCAGAATCAAGCATAACAAGTGATAATGATAATGAAAGGATCGTTTGTTGCTGTGATGATAATTGCGATTTGATTGGTTTACATTTGCATGAATTTAACGTTGATATACAATCTTCAATGGAAAATTAATGATATTTTAACAGATCTAAATTACTTATCACTATATGATAACTATAATTATTCTGTTAGCTAAATTTTGATAAAAACTTATAAAAAAATGTTGCTTATCAGTTATCACCGCATGAAATATATGTAACAAAACAAAAAAAAAAGTTTGAATAATTTCGAACATAAATGTTTATGTAATTACATCATTATGTAAGAATACGTGGATCTGATTTTTCGTGAGAGAATTTTTCTCTGTAAATGATTGACATTAAAGTTATTGTCATTTGCAATTTCTGCTCTGATTGGTTCATTGACAATTTCTTGTCAAAGTAATGAATAAAGGTATTGCTGTTATTATTGAACTTCTTCAATTCTCAAACTTTAATTGCTCATTTTCCTTTTCTTATCATCTTATTACAAGTTAATCATTTAGATAGCAAACAAAGTATTCCAAAAACTGAAACAAGCAATGGTGTAAAGAAAAAGTAAAATTTTAAACTTTTGAATTTCAATTTCTGATAGTTACATTTGCTATGACTAATGAAGTATTTACTTTGAATGTTGCTACTGTTGTTGAAATAAATGAGGAATGAGCAGATAGCAAAGTTTCTTGTTACGGAAAACCTGATAGATATTTGGGAAACGGGTTATTTTCGAGTGTATTGTAATATAAATGATTTTTCTGTCTTTTTTCAGGAAAAGGGAAACAAACGGAAAGGCAACACAAATGTTGTTGCCATGCCGTTTAGTAGTTATGCGACATGGTGAACGAATTGATGATCTCTTTCCGGAATGGATTCGTAAATCTACATCATCTGGGTCATATCGAGCTTTCGATTTGAATATGGTAATAAGCAACACAAATCATTTTTCATACTAATGTATTTGCTGATTTTGATTCCCGAATCATATTGATAATTAATTTATTGTTTATAAGGAATGAGATGTAAACAAATAGAAAAGTAAATTTTGTTCATTCATTTCTTTTGAGCCTCTTGCTCTTCCGGAATTGAAACGACCGTTCAGAGATTACGAAGATGATACGGTAATTTCGGAAATGGGTTATGTTCTTGGAGAAATGGTTGGAAGAGGACTTCTTGTTAATAAATCTATACCAGGTATGTTCTTGTATATGCAAATATTTTCAAATAGAGCAAATAAGATTGCTGGAAGAATGGAAATGAGAAAATCAAAAATTTATGATTTTACAACTTTGTAAATTACAGCTCACCTGGAATTACAAATAAACAAAAACTTGAATGAACATAACATATAGCTTTATGAGTATAAATTTAAATTATTACATAAGCTGATTGGATAAGTTATTGAATCTCCAGTGATTAATCAACTAATTAATTAATTAATATTACCATTAGCTTTAATGTTGTACAAATCTCTCAGCAATTGCTTTGATTTAATTCAATATAAAAAATTTTATAAATTAATTCAGATATTGTTTATTCATCACCAGCATTACGTTGTGTACAAACAGCGCATTCAGTATTAAAAGGAATGGCCAAAGAGGATGAAATTAAAATTCGTATTGAACCGACACTTTTCGAATTTACTGATCTTCACCCGAATGGACAACCGAAATTTGCAACACCTCAAGAGCTTTACAAAGCTAAATTTAATATTGACACTGATTACGTACCATTCACAAAGATGGAAAATGTGAGAGATAATTGAATTTAGTTTTTGCTAGTAATTCTAATTAATTCAAGATTTTATAATTCGAATTTGATAAATTGAAGTAATTTTGTAAGTAATTCGAAAGAATGGAAAAAAAACAAACTTAACTTGTAGAAGGGAAACATTTAAATTTCCTTTCTATAAGTTTGAAGTTTGTTCTTTGTTTTTTAAAAGGTAAAAATAATTGATTTATAGTGATAAATGCTAAGATCACGTGAAAGCTGGTTGTATGTTAGTAAAAGAAAACATATCTAATTTAAGATTTAGATTGATTGGATTAATACCATTACATATGATTTATAAATAATCAATATATTAAATATGATAAAATACAAATGTTAAAGTAAAATTAACTAAGATTGATTAGTTTATTTAAGTAAATAAATTACTTATCAAAGTTTAACTCATAGATTTGGGAAATGAATGAGACAATTGAAATGTATAGTGAACGTGTACAAAATTTACTACAAAAATTAGCCACAACATATGAATGGAGTCAACGAGATGATGGTAGTTTAATTTTGGTAAATCTTATTATAATTATAAAAATTTTTTGGTAATTTTGAAATAAATCTTAGAAATTAGTCGATAATCCTTTCTCTGAACATTTCGCATGAAAACTTGACAGTAAAATATATTTCATCGGGTAGTTTAAAGGTCAATTCGCAAGTTTTCCATTTATTTAAACCATAGGTTGTTGGACATGCATCAACGGTAGATTTGGCAATCGGTGCATTTCGGGAACCACCTCGAACAGTTCTTGCTCGAGAACTCATCAGTCATGGGACAAAATTCCCTTACTGTTGCACAGCAATTATTGACCGGATGGATAATGGCCAATGGTTGTACAATGAAGGTGCTCTACCACCCATTACTTACATGAATTTTAGCTCGAAAATTAATCGAGATTTCGCTATGCGTGAAAGAATCGCAGCATGAAAACTCTAGAGAACTTGAAGATGGATTCCAAATTGTAATTTAGCCAAAATCAATGCAATAAAACGAGAACTCATGATTTTCCAAACACTTATCAAGATCAAGAAATGACAAATGCTAACTTCGACACTGATATCATTAATTAGAGCATATTCCAATAAGCATGAAAGTTGGTCAAAATATAGGACAGAATATGAATGATGAAAAATTGTTCCATTTTATTGCTTACTTAAAACTAAAGTACAATGTAAACTGCTAATACGCCTTACTTCATGTTCGCGTTATCTCGTATAGTAATACCCATGATTTTGATATTTGGTACTGCACAGTGACCACACAGACAGTGTCAACAAAAAATTTATTCTGACAATTTATATAACAATAAAATACACTCCAAGAAGTGTTAACCAATAATAATGACATGAAAACACGAAAGTAGACTATTCTCAGCTTTAAACTGCTTCGTCTTTTCCGTGTTTTTCTGGCTTGCCACCACGAATTCTGCCAGTTCTACGTGCCGCAATAAGACCTACTTTACGTCCAGCGCTTGTTCCACGCTTCACGGTTGATGGATGTCCAATGTGTTGGTGATTACCACCACCATGAGGATGCTCAACAGGGTTCATTGCAACACCACGTACTGTCGGCCAGCAATTGCGCTTAGCCTTGTACTTGTGATACGCATTTCCTGCTTTCAGTAATGGTTTGTCTGTTCTTCCACCACCAGCGACAATACCTAGACGTGTCAGAAAGTAGATGTTAGTACCAAATAAGGAACAAAAGCAACAAACGTTTGTATCATCATGTTTCACATGCAAGCCAAATTTGTCAAAATTAATATGCGAAAGACTTTATGCAAATTCGGTCTACAACAAAAATAATACTTTCACCTCTAAATAATACTGACATGTATTCCGATAAAAGCACACAAATAATTCCACAAATCTCAAATAAAAACATACCGATCATTGCTCGATTTGAAGAATCCAAGACCTTCTTTGCGCCCGAGGGCAAGCGTACACGGGTCTTCTTAGTTTCTGGGTTGTGCGCAACAACAGTAGCATAATTGCCTATAAAAATATATGCGTTAACAAAGTGTATATACAGACTTTATAAAACTGTCGTAAATTCTGAACTGCGCTTTCTCTATGCGTTGTCTACCGAAATCCCTAAAAACTAATACATCCTTTCAAGAAAAGACCACTTCACCCACCAGAAGTGCGTGCAAGACGGCCGCGATCACCAGTCTTTTCTTCCAAATTGCACACAGTAGTTCCTTCAGGTAATTCGGAAAGTGGAAGGATGTTACCAACTTGAACTTGAGCTGAAATAAAATGAACCACTTGCTAAAACTATTGCATTAATTACTTAGTTGTAATATACCTTACACCTCATATGACGCCTAAACTATATGTTTTTAGCAAGCAAATGCTAAATTCAAAAATCTGCAATGTAAGCAACGCTCAGTTATGTCACATTTATGTAACCCTACTTAACCATAGGAAAAGCTACCTTTCCGTCCACAATAAATGAACTGTCCGGTGTGCATCCCTTCTGCGGCAATCATTGTACTCTTCACAATTTTATACCGGTAAGGATCGCGAAATTCGATGAGTGCCAAAGGTGCTCCACGTCCTGGATCGTGCATAATAGTTTTCACAACTCCCTTAATATAACCATGTCGCTCGGCATAATCGACTGGTCGTAGCTTAGCTGCTCCCTTTCGGTGTTTGTTATGAGCTTTAAAAATACCTCCCGGCCCCTTACGCTGTACACGGATCCTACGTCCCATTTGAACCTGAAATAAAACTTTGATTTCCATTTACTTCATATTTCCAGTCCATTCACAGCTGAAAAGTCAACTTGGATTTCTTTCCCACAAAGAAATCAAAGAGTCAAGAAAAATGCCATCACTCTTCAGCATGGTTAACGTCGTGGATATTTCACAGTCGGAATATAAAACGAGAGTGTAATATCATAGTTAATTATATTCTAAAACGGTCCAACTCGGATTTGGTTTGATAAAATTAAACTAAATGAACTAACAAAATAAAAAAGAGAGTGCAGAAAGTGGATTACACGCTACAGTACAGTTGGACAAATCGTATAACGAAAACCGAATAATATGCGAACTACCGATGAAGGAGACCTCCTCAATACATTTGCGACCGTACATGATACCAACTGTCATAACAACTGGAGCATTTTTGCGCTAACGTACGATCACGCATAGCTTACAGATGCGTCATTGAATAAATGAGTGATGATTAGTCACACAATCCCGACGATTAAACTAGCAGATGCTACCACAACCCAGCAACTTTTAATGAAACCAGAAACCCCTTACCAAAAACACCACACAACCAACCCAATCCTATAGCTATATAGGAAACGACGATCCTTTAAATTGCGGCGCCGGCTCTAGTCTGGGACTCGACACGCAACTAAACGTCTCATACGAGGATGATCATTAGTTGTAATGTACTTTCAAACATGTGGTCTACTATATTCAGACAAACAGGTACCTATCCTTAATTTACCATATTCTCTCTTCCTGTCACACTGATTCACCTATTTTTACTGTTGCCAGAAAAAAAACACGACCAAACTTTTCTTTCCAACACAATATTGTCATCCGTTGTATCACCATCCCATTAGTTGATACACTTCGTTATTGTCATTTTTTCCCGGGAAACTAAGATTAAATATTGTTAGAAAAGTTATCATAATTCCTAAAGGATTCAGTCAATTATTCTGAGCATCGATTGAGTTGCCTCATTGAGAAGCATTGGAAGAAGGCTTGACAAGTGAGAGTCTGCTATGAATACCCAATGCAAATATCGACTCTTCCCACTTTTTATACATCTAGGCCTATTGCAGTTGGCTGCTAAGTCTCTGTTCCTAAACGCTATAACAAGAAAATAAAAGACTAGCTGCAAGTTCATTCGTTCATTCCTCCTTGGCTCAGGACTCTTTCTGGCCTAGAGTTAACGAGTTATTGCTGGTTATTTTAGGCTGGTTATTGCATTTTAGTTTTTTAATTCACGTATAACTGTCTTCCGTTGTAATAGGTTCAAATTATTTTCGTTGTTGTATTAATAGTCAAAATAAACTAAAATGTGAGAAAAATTTTTTTAATTCATCATTATAAAATGTATTTCTTTGATTTGATTTTATGGATATAAAAATTGAATTGAATCTTCCTACATTAAGTTTTTCTGCTTTCATCAAATTTCCTTTTTATGTCACGTGAGTTGATGTGAAATCTATCCATCGTAGTCATTTCTGTTTGAAATTTCAATGCCAAAAAGTAATCACCATGCCGGATCCCGACTGCCATCTTAATTCGTTTAGCATATCATCCCTGACAAACTTTCTACATTGTCTGAAATGATTTAACTGTAGTTTTATTTTTCAAATAAACTCAGTTACGTCATTCGCTTTACTTTTTATTTTTATCAAATTTCTTTTTGCGCCACGTGAATGAATTTCCTTGTGTCACATTGACATATTCTATCTGAAATGATAAATTCTGGTTTTCTTCTTTTTTCTCTTTTTTAGGAATTTTTCTCAAATGTAAACGATAAGCAAAAATCATTTAATGGCAAATAAAATAAGGAAATTCGGGAAGCAAAAAGTGTGCGATGAGCATTAGCACGGGAATAACCAATCAAACGATGTATCATCGTATCCAAATGCCTAAATCATATTATGTGCCTTCGACAGATGTTGTGACAACAATTGTCCTACCAACAATTGTCTTTTGTATCGCCATGGTAATTGCAATGATCATTGGCATAAACAAATGCAAGCAGTGGGAATTGGATAAAATTGTTGAAATGCGACGTACACGACGTGTGGTACAACGGATGACAGCACGATTACGTGAGAAAAATTTCCGGACTATACAAAGTTAGTTTTTTTTTTTGTTTGCTTTTATTTTGTTACATTTCAACTTGTTTATTTTGCAAATTTTCTAATATCAGTAATGAAAATAGGTTAATCTTTAACACTAATTTTTTTCAATATATATTTAATAGATAACTTGTTTAATTATTTGTATTTACTTTAAAAAAGGAAAAATTCTTCACTTCCTGAGAATACAAAGTTTTCAAAAGACAAAAAAATCCAAATCTCAAGAATTTGTTTTTCCCCTTCCCTTGCTCATCCCTATTATTTTTCCAATGGATTTTAATGAAGATCTGTTTGATCGAAATTAATGGACTCACTCAGCTGTTAATCTTGTTTTCCCTTTGCTGGTTATGGGGATTATTTAAAATGATTTGGTGAAAATTTAAATTTTAGTTTAAGCTGAAATTTCCAACAAATATTACATTACTTTAGATCCAGTGATTTCTCAGCTATAAAACAAACAATCTTTTGGTACGATATTTCAATGCACCTTAAATTTAAAGCAATTATCGTTTCTTAAGACTTCTACAAAACTGAATCACTTTCTGATTGGTAGTTGAATTTTAATTGGTAGGAATATCAGTGCAACAATTTTAATGATACTCCTCCTCTCCTCGAAAAGAGTGGGAAGAATAAATTTCTGGAAATTTTGATATGAAATCGGCTTGAAAAAAACGCCTACATGTTTCATTTCAACTCTTTATTAGTAATGAAATGGACAAAAAGGAATGTTTTTTTCTCAATTTGGATAGTTAAGAAATGAAGTTCGTAATCTGTGACTCGGTATTTCATTGATGTTATCACATAATATGATTACTTCATAATATTTGAATCATGCAGTAAGTCACATCATACATGATTTCCACACATGCAGGTATGATCTAACTGTCCAATTTTCAACCTTTGAACCTATTCATTAAATGTAACAAGACTTCCAGAAGCTCGCAGCATGCGACAACGAAAAAGGGAACTGTTCAAAGCCAAATCAAGCATTCAGATGAACGATTTGATGGTAACCAACAACACATCTCCGCCAACTTACTCTATAAATCCGCCCACCCAATACGGTACTTCACCGCCGCCTAGCTATGAGGATGCACTTTTGGATGAATTTTTCAATGAATGTCAGCCAATACAGTACTAATTAATCAAATGAACTTGATGGCAATCAATAACACAGATTGATGGGCCGACTTTTTAAGATACTAAACAAAACGCTGAAAGATTTTTATGTTTTAAGCCTTGAACTTCAAATTTTATGTAAATTTGAGACAGAATAATAAAATTTAATTAATTTTCTTACGAAGCAAAAAGACAGCTGTTTATCCATCCAGTCAACAAATGACAATTACCATTAAATACATAAGCTATAATTTCACCCAATGTATTTAGTGAATTCGAATAATACAACCCAACCGATGAAAAATGATCCGCCGAAGAGTGGATCAATGCGCTTAAAGCTCACACAAAATGAGCAACTAAAAATACTAAAAACTTTTTTTTTTATTTTTGTCCTTCTCAACTATATTTCCTTCTCTGAATCGCATAAAATTATCTGGGATTTAAAACAACGAAGGAATGAGCAAATATTTCACTCGATTCCGATACTGCAACCAGTATGGTCCATATTTTGCCAAACATCTGGAAAAGCTAATTTTTTTTTTTTGACGATTTCAGGAATTACTGGTTTTTCCTCGTACCACCATAAATTTCTCAATATTAAGAATCCAAGGCTTTCCCTTAAATCTCAAATTTTGATCAATTTTCGATTTTTTTCTGAGAAAACAAATATGCACCTTCATTTATTTGGGTTTCAACTCAGTGACAGCTTCTTCGACATGAATAAAAGAAAAATAGGTCGTATATCACCTTAGGAAGTACCATACCATACTGCAACGTATTGCAGTATGCATGATAAGCTATTTTTCATCTTATTTTATTACAATTCAGATGTTTCTGGGCAAAAATTAAATTTTTTCAGATAATTTACCTCAGTTCATCATGCTTTAATCGTAAATATAAGTAGCATGTTAGAAACAAGAACGGAAAACAGGCGAAAAATGTACTTGCTCCCTGCAAAATTGTCCAACAGGCAAATGTGAGCCATTCACCGAAATAATTTGGATGCCGACATAATCCCCACCAGCCGCTTCCTGAAAAAACAAAAAGTTGACCACATCAAAGTTAACTTATGGATTTCAAATTCTTCATTCCTAAATTTACCGCAAAACTTTAGAGAAAAAAAAGAAAACTGAATTGTCTGATAAAAGATGCTTGGTTAGCAGAATCGAGTACTGCAATGTTAAATAATTGAATATTCAATCAGCTGATTCGAAGTCTTTACTTACCTAAAAGTAAATTCGCAGCAACTTCACCATTTTTACGTCGATATTTGGCAGTAATAAAAAATGGATCTTCACCCCATATTTTCATATTTCCATTAGCAAGTCTGAATTGTACACGTTGTCGATCACTGTCAACCGTAACATACATCGCCATGACAGTAATGAAGAGTAGTGCCACACTGATTGGTAAAGGTAACACAACCTTACGTTGTGCAAGTACTGTAATTGGTGTTGCATAGAATGCTGGATAAAGTACAAGAGTTCCCCAAATGTAAAAAAATCCTGAAAATATTTCAAATAAAGATTAGGGATAGCTACAAACCATTTATATTCCGTATGTTTTCCTAATTGTTGAAAAACCAAACTTGAAATTTCTTCCTTTCAATTATAAATTATTGGCTAAATTTGTCTTATTGCATTTGTAACGACCAACTTTAGAATACATTTTGTCAAAAAAAATTGACATGAACTGCAAAAAAAAAGTCAGCTTTGTCAAAAAAATTGATGAGATTAATCGCACAAAGAAAAATGCCACTAATGCATCAATCAAAAGCTAAAAACAAATTTTTTGTTTTAATCAAGTTTAAAACAAAGTCTTGGCAACTAATCATATTTAAGTAGTTCACAAAATTTTAAAAAAAATTTTTTCTTGATTTTTTTTCTTCATTCAAAAATTCCTTCTTAGATTTTCAAAATGTAAATATAGGCATTTGAAAGTAAACAGTTTGAAATTAACTTTCGTGTTTCACCTTGTACTTGTTTTCTTTTGTTTTTTTTATCACCTCAAAAAAGCTGCCCAGCAATTCAACCCCCATTTCTTAATTATCTAAGATAAAAGCTGCCCTAAGACACGATTACCAAGGCATATTGAAGTATGAACTAAAATTTAGCATCTCAAGTAATTCATCTGTCATTCTTAATCGATACACAGTTAACATCACTGAGATAATAATGGTTAATATGAAGAAAAGAACAACGAGATTTAAAAAATTATATTAAATAGTCATTAATCAAGTTCTTAGTCCCCAAGGAGCCAAGTCAATTTGACTGCAAAGAAGTCTAGCATTACATCAAATCTTTCAAAGAGATATCCTGCAACAAGTTTGAGTCGAAATTTCTCCATTATCCGAAATACACTAAAGATTAAACCTTGAAATCAATAAAAGAGATTATGAAAAAGATGTGAAAAATTTTGATGAAAATAATAAGATAGATAAAAAATAATTAAGGATCGTACAGCAACTTTATGGCTATGCATCATAAAAGAGCAAATAGTTGAAGATGAAATAAACTAACTACTGTAATTCAAAAAGAATCTCAAAGACTGGGAAAAATTCCTTACCGTTCTAGGCTTGTGTCTCTTGTCATTCTAGGCCTGCATTCCTAAGAGAATAGAACAGTCTTCGTGTGGATACAAAAAAAAATGAAGAAATTATTGACCATATAATAGAAAGTAAAAACGGATCTTTTTTTTTTTCAGTAAAACAAACTGGCATAGATAAGCCTCAGACAGATAAATGGATAAGATTATAATGGTAGGAATAAGGTAGGAACAAGTCCCATTTCTAAGTTCCATTTCCCACTTCTATTGCTTTCTTTTCTTTTTTTTAAATCAAAGTAAATAATCCATTCAGTCTTGTTCGTCATGCCATACAATTTTTATAATATTTTTGTTTGCAATTAATTATTTATCTAATATTTTTATCAAGAACTCATCTTTTCTCATCACTCTCTATTATTCACTATGTCATTTTCTCATTGTTCAGAATTAGTTAAATTCCTATCACTGCTTCTTTTTCCCCTCCCTCCTCCCCTCCCCCCAAAAAAAACTTATTTTTTCACCATTTATTCCATTCTTGCTTGAAATCTTTTCAGTTCCAGGCCTGTTTATATGAGAAAAAAAGACTTAAAAACAAAGCTAAAAATCCACTACACATAATATGTAAAATTCTAATTACATTTCATTATGAAGTGAGAATCGAACTGAAAATATTTTGCACAAATGGCAAACCTGCTTTCTTATTTTGAGTATCCAGTTGACTATAATGCAAATGTTCAAACCAATGTATTTTACCGATATAAATGAGTTGTAAAATTGCACAGGATAGTAAATTATCTACAAAAAAAGGTATTCGTCAAAATTATTGGGATGAGAAATGAAGGAAAAAAAACGGCACGATTTTGAATTGAGTTCAAAGGGAATAAATTAATTAGAAATGCGAATTACAAATTGGTTCATCAGGGCATTCAGATAATTAAGTGCGACATTTTCTTACAATCGTATGTCGGAACTGATCTTGTCTAAGCATCCTCTTGAACAAGGTTCACTGATCAAATCAATTCGTTTAAATCAAGTTGACATTTAGATAATAACTGGTTAAAATCATAATTTCCAATTTATAATCAATTTTTTCGACGAGCGAAAACGAAAACTTGAAAAATGTAAAATTTCGAAAGGTAATCTGAACATTTACTATTGATCCTTCCATAAAATGTATAATTGTAGTAGAGGGATGAGATGATATATAACGGCCATAAAGTTCGAGCAATTCTATAGGTGATAAAGTGTTTGAGATCAACTGAATAAATCACTGGCGTTAAATCAGTACCAAAAAACAATCCACTGATAATATCAGCTAAAAAATGAGTAATTTGAATGAGTAAAAAAAATGAGTAATTTTAGATATCCTGTCATATTTATTACCTTAATTTACATTTCACTTCTAATTTCAGAATTTAACTATTATAATAAGCAACAGATAATTGTAAATTTCAAAATATACTTGAACAGAAAACAGATATTTTTAGAAGACTAGGTTCATGTTCTTTTATTGACGCCTTTACGTATTATGTTACCTTTTGACCTTTTGCTTTACAACATATGCTGCGATATATTTTGATACAAAATTTTTACGTTAAATAAATTGAACACGCTTTAAATTAACATTACCTTTTGCAGTAAGTGGCTATCGATTATCCTATGAAAAAGGCTTTATTTGTTCTTAGCTTCAAAACTTACAAGTATCATCATCATCACTTCGTTGTCGTATATACAACAATAAAACCATGATCATGGATATAAAGTTTAACAATGATAGGATTTGAATCCAATTCATATAAATGATAGAAGCTTTGTAGAAGCCTAGTGCTGAGCCAAAGATGAATAATAGTATTACAAGAAGACATGACTGGAACGAATTCACTGGATGACATTCTCGTTCTCCTGAAATTGAGCTAGCAATAGAATTACATGGCTTTTAATTAGGATAAGTGAAACTTGGATAATCTTTTTTCCTGTGTAACGAAGTTAGCTAAAACAATTGTATTTTAGGCTAAATTAGACAACTAAAATATATCAGGTAGAAATTTTGCAGCTTCATTAGCTTCCAAAATAATTATAAGTGATGAAATGATAAGTTAATATCCATATGATCATTAAAACGATAAGCTAATCCTTACCCATGCTATTGATAACTGTGACAAGATCTTTAGGCAAAACAAGATGAAAGATAAGTTGTAAAAGTGTAATAAAAATAAGAATTTTCCAAGCTATCGAAGAAAATGGTGTTGGAAAAATTTGATACAACACATCAGTTTCCGACCATAACATTCGAAGAAACTGAAAAAAAATTTTCGTCGCTCATTGTAAATTGCATAGAAACTATTAAAAATTTAAATTGAAAAAAAAACAGTCTCAACTTCACACAGACTGATTGTTATTGTTAAATTTACCTGAGTAAATGATGCATTACAATTATCCACAGCATAAATGTGAAGGAAGAGAAGAAATGGTCCTCCACAAAGTAACGATATGAGTAATTGAGGAGGAAAATTTCTTTTTTTCTGAAATAAAAAATTGGCAATTAAACAGTTTTTCAATAATATTTAACTACTGTCCCAAATAACTTATTTAATAACTTCCCTTTCCGAAAAAAAAACAAAAAAAAATTAAGATTTCTATAAGAATAGTTCGAATAAACGTAAATTTTCATTTCATAAAACTTCATTCACTTTATCTTTCCATTCTCTTAACACATATGTTCACAATACACCCTTATTTAGATAGACTAAAATTGTTCAAGAAAAAAGAAAGGAAGATGTCAAAGTGGTACAACGAATATTTTAAATGCATCATTCATGAAAATAATATGCCAGAAAGCGATTTAAAATGTTTTTAAAACTTTTTTCTTTCTCCTGCATAAAAACAATTTCGATGTTTATAAATGCTTTTTCAAAGTGAACAACAGAAGAACTGTATCAGAGTTTCGCCAGTATTTCCATTATCACTATATGGAATGAATGTTTGATAAATTAAAACATATAATTCAAATGAAATATGCAAATTTTACAAACAGGCTTTTTATAAATTAATGTAAAAATGAAAGGAAGAGATAATCTTAACAGAATATTTTTGTGTATAAGACATTTCTGTATGATTTCTAATTTAGATTACCTTTCAATCCCTGAAAGATCTGCACTTGTATTAATTGATCCTTAATTAATTTCATAAGTGAGCAGAAATAGTAGAACAATATTATTTACAACATGAAGATGAATAAATAAATCTTTGTTTATGATAAACATTCATGAAAATTTTAACATCTAATCCTTTCTTCTAATAATATCGATCACAAATCAGTAGAGTGAGTTAGAAGTCGAAAAAAAAAATTCAAAAACCAAAAAAGAGACTCATTTGAATTTGAAAAATACGAATTTATCTTTATCAAAGAAGTTGGAAGGTAAGGAAATATCATTGTAATTCAGCTAATTCTGTTTGCAATATTATCACAAATCAGGAAAATGTCCAGAAAAGATAAAAAATATAATTTAAAACTTTCATTTGGGAATATTTCGTTGTAAAAGTTCGTTTACTTTTTCCAATTTATTTCAATAAATTATAATTTTCATAACTCTTAATCGACTATATCTCACTTTTCAAATTCTATTTCCATTCACTAATTACTACTTTCAATTCATACTTAGCTTTTATATTAATTCTATCTCAATTTTAACTCTCCTAACTCTATCTTAATTTTAGCTCCCTCTCTTAATTCTATCTTAATTTTAACTATCATTTTAACTCATTCCTTATTTCCCTACCTTTTCAGGTAATATTAAATAAAACTACCTGTGCTTCGGCAATTTGAATCCGTTCAATATCCTTTAAATTAGATGATGATCGTCTGGATGGTATGGAATGTTGTGAGCCAACAAGTGATGGACGTCGATTATTACGAAGCATTGTTGTTGCCGTAGTTCTTGTAGTCGATGTCGTAATTGCTGCTGTTATTGTTATTGTTGTTGTAGTAGTTGCTGTTATTGTTGTTGTTGTTGTTATTGTTTTTGTTTTTGTTATTACAGACCATTAAATTCTCATCCGCTGACATTCTATCCTTTTCCAGATACAAATAACCAAAATTCCTCCCATCAAGCAATCATCATTGTCAGTAAGCGCTTATCAAAAATCACGAATCAATCTGTCCCAGCTATTATTGTTGGTGCAACAAGCAACTGATAGTGATAGCGGTAGCTACGATGATGCTGATGACGATAATAATAATGATGATGATGATGGCACTGCTAGCACTGAACAAATGATGAGCAAAGCTTTCACATCTATTCCCACCTCTCTAATATTATTACACAAAAAAAGCGCTTCTTAACCATCTCTCTGCGCCACATCTTGTCTCCAACGCTTCCAATCCCTCTCTCTCTTTCAACTTAACCACACCATATACCGAATGACATCAGGCCGAATTCCACTTTTCCCCGTTAAGATGATTGATAAGTTATCAAATATTTGCATGTAAATGATAAATACAAGATACGAACGTACAGAGTATTGCGTTGGTTTGGTTCTTGTGAAGAAATGCGAGGAGCAAATGCAATTTTATCTTTTGTGCTAATTAAAAACAAGATGACAGCTGGTTAAGACGTCAAAATATTTCCTTACTACCTTAAAGATGAAAATGGCAGGTAAGATGGTAGCGTAAAATATACCTCCAACGTATCATTAATTGATCCTAATACTAGAAGTAATTGATCGTGTATAATTATGAAAGATTATGAGAAAAAAAAAAGATTTGTTTTGGACATTTAATGAGGTGTGATATGGGATGTGACGCAAGTGTAATTGTTTCAATCTCATTTGATTTCAAAATATATTTGGAAATTTTTGCTACCGAGAGAATCATTGAAATTACGACAAACTAAATCTGCTGATCGTTTTTAATTATCCACTCGAATGCAACCACGCATCTCATTTCATTATTTTACAGACCGTCTTTTCAAGGCCCATATCTGTTTTATTCAGTTTTCCGAGATATCGCGGTAGTTTTCAAGTATATTTTCATGTTATTCGCATAAAACCACTATTTTTTTAGGACATTTGATGAGGCGTGATATGAGCTGTCACACAAATACAATTGTTTTAACTCAGTCTATTTTTAAATACATTTGGAATTCTTGCTTTTTAGACAATTTTACTCATTGGAATTGAGACTAAATTAAAAATGTTAATGGTTTTTAATTACTCACTCGAATGCAATCATGCATCTCATTTCCTTATTTTACGGATCGTTTTTTAGGCTTATTTCTGTTTTGGTCAGAGATGTCGTGGTAGCTTTCAAATATGTTACATGTCGTTTGCATAAAACTACTGTTTGTTTAGGATATTTGATGAGGTGTAACATTGGAATACAAGTTAAGCATGATAAAAGGAATCAAGATGGAGTGTGCTGCAGTATCACCAGCCGAGAATATTACAGGAGGGATGCCAGTCGACTTCAAGGTATTTTCATGGATTTCTTTTTTCAAGATTGAAATTTCGAATTTAAAAGTTAACACACATTTGAAAGTACGAATTACAGTAACCTATCATACTGACAGTTCTGCAGGAAAGTGGATAAAACTTTGGGCGATGTTCTAAATTGGAGATAGATGGTCTGTACTTTCCATATCATAGTTGATAGTAGATTGACAAGAGTTATGGTGGCCTTCTATTAAGGGAAAAGATAAATCAAGGTTAAGGATCATAAAGGTTACTAGTATCAAAACCAACTGAGTAGGAAATATCAAACTTTTTTAAGTGGCTTAAAATTCTGCTTCTAACACGTATATGATTATCCGAAAGTTCCACAAAGTTTAAAGAAAAAAGAGACAAAACTCCCAACAAAAATTTCAGACCACGGGTGTTGTAGCTCGATTAACAAATAACATGGCGGCAGATGTTCAATCATTGATATTTCAGCGTCACAGAGTAGCAAATGGCACAGCCGGATATGTCTACACTGCTAGGAATGTAGTAGTTGATTTCATATTTCTTCTTCCAGTTTTTCATTCAAATTTTAGGTTTCACTTGCGTATCCATTCATCTAATTCATCTAACTTCCAAATATTCGTCGATCTGTTGAAAGGAACAGGTCCTATATTGTAACTACAGAGAGACTCGAAATAGCTCTGTTTTAGTATTTCAATAACAACAAGAACAATGCATTTAGCGTTGTTACAAATAATTAAATTAAAAATGTGCAAATTTGTTCTTATTTTCAACCATTTATACGGCACTATGAACAATTTAAATAGGGAAATCGCTTTTGAAAGAATGACGTTTTCAGGGTCTTGCATCAGAAAAAGTCGTTCGTTTGGGACGTGAAGAATGCTCGGAAGGCGAAGGATGTGATTATGCGATTGCAGTAATCAACAGACGAACGGGGAAGACAGATTATTTGCCGACTAAACTAATTTGTTTCGAAAATGTTCCGGTATCCGATTTCCAAACAATACTAGATACTGGGTTTGTTATATTTTTGTGCAGTTCTTGAAAGTTATAAATATTCCATTTTTTTTTTTTTTACCCCAAAATAATCTGAAGCTTGAGGTCAAAATGAGACAATTTCAGTTACAAAAGGAAAGTCGATTATTCCATCGATAACACTATTAGCAGAGAATCGTGGGCTGATAAACGGCGTGCATTGACACATGATTTTGGATCAGTTAAAAGGGTTAAAATACAGGATGCTGCCAACCGGCGACAAATTAAAGATGCATGTTTTCTCAAATAAATGAATTCAGAATTGCTGTTCTTTGCAAAAATAGAAACAGGAACTTTTGAAACATTAATCGATTTTTAAGGAAACGTTGTCAGTTATGCTCAACTCGGCATTTGCGTCTGCAAATATGAAAAAGGAAGGTGAAACGGTGGAGAAATCTGAAATTTCATTATTAACAAAGGTGAGAATTTTCTACCACATAGAAAAGTTATTCATATCTTTATCTCATCTTATGAATATGAAGTCGAATATGCAAGAAAAATCTTCTATACGTCAACTGAAATCTTTTCAACGGAATTAATCATTACCAACAAATGTTTAATAAGCAGATATATTTCGAGTACTCTGCTTCTTTTCAAGTTTTAATGGATTTTTTTTTTCGAATTTTCTGTTTGATTTTCATGACTTTTTGCAGGCTGAGAGTTCGGTGCTACCGAAAGCAAATATGGATGGGAAATCGCCAAGAGAAGTATATTTATTTTCAAATTTTTTGTCTGATGCAGAAGTTATAACATTCAAATCTGAAGCGTTTGATCATTTGAATGATTCAAGAAAAAATCTTGTTGCAAATGGTTAGAGGATTTTCTACTTCTGCATATGGTTTTTACAGTTCTTACATATATATTACTAGTTTTGGGGAGCCAAATCTTTCGATACTGATACTCAATACTTCTATCTCTTCAAATTTCATCTTATGCTACAAAAAATTCTACCGTTTTTTCTTTTTTTACGAAACATCGAAAAGATCTTCACAGTTTTCTATTCTTGCTTTTGTTCTTTAATGCAATGCAACACAGATCCTATCGTTCCGCTCATATTCAGCGGAAAACGATACATTGCGTTTTTGGTAACGTTATTTGGTGAAACTGTAGCGGGCTTTATTGTTTGGAATACTTTGCTATATTGCCATAAAAAATATATCGTACTGCAGCCGCACATCTTTTAGTTGCAAATAATACTGTAAATCAACTTATTCTATTATATTTTTCAGGGCTCTCTCCTCTTGTATATAATCTGATTGGTAATATTAGTACAAACACCGAAAGAACTTGTTATTTATTACTGTTGGATGCTATGATACATTGTTACAAGGTAATTATTCATATATATATATATATATATATATATATTTGGACGGAATACTGTATACACTTATTCATTTTATTTTTTCTTTTTGAAGTTTGAAATTTTTTACTTTGCAGATTTTGGCAAAACGTCGTTTCCTTTTACAAGACGAGTGGATGCAGTTGCAGTATCCAGTGACAGTACTTTCTAAAATTCGTGAACTTTTTCTCCGTATGTTTTATTCTTACATTTCTGGTGACATAACAATTAGTTTTATTGGTTGGGTAAAAGATTAAGCAAATCTATACTGCTTAAGATAAGGAAAACCAATGGAAATGTAAGAAAAAAGAAATTAAGTAAAGTTATTTTATATGAGGAAGGAAGAAGTCAAGATTCGAGTTAGAGAGTGAAAATGTTGAATCGAAAAGAATAAGGAATGGATTTTGGGGGAAGATTGGGATATTTTTAATAATGTGCTGGTTTTTATCAGATAGTTTTGTTTCTTTGATTTGCAAAATCTTCACTGAAGGAAATAAAGAAAAATTTCATTTTGAATGCATTTTGATTTCTTCTTTTTCATTTCTGATTTATTCAGTTTTAGTTTCGATTCTTTTACAGCTGGTGAATTCGTTAGCGAAAATAACAGAAGTAAGCAAAAGTTAGCAGTTAATGTAATGACCAAAGATAGATTATTGGCGCACATTTTATGCTTGGCGATTTTATTAGATTGTAAGTTAACTCTTTCTCTTATACTGATGACGATCTTGATTAAGCTTGTTCAATCACCTATTACAGTACGACTCTTTTTAGTGATAGAGGCGTGTGATTGTATTCAGCTACCCGACAGAGCTTTTATTGTTACCATTAAATCATCCAATAGCTGAATAACTACTGATGATATTCAGAATTGTGGGAATTATTGGGTTTTATGACTAGAAAAAAAAAAAAAAAAACGAATCATCAGTATTAACAAGTGATTTATCGATGATGACCTTGTGCATTGCTGGTACGAACATCCAAAACTTTAAAATTAAATATTTTTCGAATATATTTATCATTTTTATCTTTTTTAATCTCTCACATAACTCTTGTGGTTTAACATTCAAGCAGTGAACATTGCTAGTCTTTTCCTGACAAACCTTTAAATGCTTTTTTTCTTTTTTTCATCATTTAATAAGCCGTGGAAGGTATTTGCAGATGAAAATATGACTTTACCAATCACGCCGTGGGCTAAAGAACTTGGAACAGGCGAGCCAAAGATTACCAAAATTGCAGCTGCACTTGGTTGCAAGTAAGTATTGCTGCTAATTTTGAAAAAGAAATCATGAAATTTCAGATAAGATATTTCTGAAATTTATCAAATCGGAACCAATCAAGTGAAATTCTTTATTCCAGCATAAGCGCAGCAACAGCATCAGAAGGTGTTCGTTTAGGAACCATACGAATAGCACGGTTAGTTGGACCACCACAGCCATCAAAAAGACGATTTTCTGGACGAACTAGTGCTGGAAGAGGTCGCTAAATTGCATAAAAATCATAGCAGAATAACGTCGCATTTTTACATTTCCTTTTAGTCCTTTTTTTTCTGCATCATACTGTTTCATTCTTGTGAATTTCTTTTTTTATTTTGTTGCTGTGTAACACAAGTATTTAAGGGAACGGGTTTTAAATATAGTTGTTGATAACATTTTAGTATTACATCAGAACTATTTAGTTGGCCTGTGATGTATTGCTGCTAAGGAGAGTGGCATAAATGCAAAACCGAACATTACTATTTCTTGAAAAGAGCAAGAGACGCCGATGTTCTAATATTCTTTTAGTTTACGTGCTAGTTAGGCTCTCAATGTTTCCTCTCTATAAGAACCGAAATATTTTGATTATTTATGCGAGTAATAAAATAGCTTAGTTTTTGAACATCATTGCATCCCCTACTTTCTTCTTCCACATGATTCCTCCTATTCTTTAACATCTAGGCTACTAATGAATTTGAAGATTTTATATTTTCTCAAGTTCGTAATTTAATTCGTAATTGAATTATTGTTTATTGGTATATTTCGCTTATTCTGTGATCAAAAAAAGGCGGGAATAAATTTTCAATTTCCAAATTTAATGTTTTTGCATGGAAGAGTGTGAAAAATCCATTGTAAATAACCCATCTGAGATATATGGGAATGGAAATTTTTGTGCTAAATTTTGTCAATTGCTAAAAATATTTGAGGAGGGGGAAGATATTCCCTTATTTACCTGCTCAATCTTTTGCTAACCTAGATATTTCATGGGAAGGGAATATTTCATGCACCGTGGAAATCGAACTGTTCAAGCTTACATCAGTTTATACTGATTAAATGTAAATTAAACATAATCGGGATATCAATTGATATTCAGAAGAGTAAATGTATTTGCTTTGAATACTTAAGCGGTATGTTGTTAAACGTACAGTACGACTTTTAGTAGAATTTTCTAGAGTCAAAGACAGAGAAAGAGAAAGAGAGAGGGAAGGTATGTTATATTCGATAATTAATTATAAAAGATGTCGAAATTGTGCACTTCAAGGGTATGCTATGCAACTTTGCATAATTTAATAATTATCTTCCGGAAGAGGATCATATTTTGATTAATTTGACTTGATCTATATCTAATCCTGCAAATTATTTAATTAATTTAACTGAGAATTAGTTTTATTGAAATTCCTAGAAAATTATAATCACTATGGTTATAGTTATTGAATACTTGTCTCTCTCTCTGTCTCTTTCTCTCTCTCTCTCCCCGCTTCTCTTGCATATATTATTCTCATATAAGTTCAAATAGTGTTAAACATTCTTAATAATAGAAAAATTAAAAACTCAATGGAATAAGATAATTAATTTAAATATTAACAAAATCAGTTATGGAATTAATCTATCAAAAAAGTGAAATTTCTAAACAAAAAAATAAAATATTTATTTTTCGAAATTGTAATATTTAATTAATACAATTATGTTTCTCATTATCGTAACATATCATCGTATCATCTCTCTGTCAATCAATCGATCATCCTTTTTGTTTTCTTTTTGGACGACACTTTGGTAGTGGAAAAATAGTTTTTAGTATTGGATTGATGTTTCTTCTTTCCTTTTCCATTCCATCACTTTTCTTTTTTTCTCTTTTTGCTTTTTGCTTAATCGGTCGCTTATTCCTCCAGTTTCACTTTTTTTTTTTTATCAATACGCTAACAACCATCCATTCAGCTGAATCAATCGAATTGAACAGCTGTTTTACGATGCTTAATCAGTCGCTTATTCCTCCGGTTTGGTTTTTCTTTTTTTTTTTTCTCAAAGACAAAATAAAAAAAAAGTAATTGGATAATCCGTATTTTCTTAAGAAGAAAAGCAACCGGATAGCAAAAACCGGAATGGTTCATGTTTTCCACTCATATATATCCCTATTATTTCCCTTTTCAAGTTATGGTACCATTATTCAATTTAATTTATTAATTAACTTTGTACCATTACCAGCAAAAAAATATCTGTACAGAATGTGTAATTGTAAATAGCAGCAAGTCTCATATTGATTTTGTCTTTCTCTCTCTCTCTTTCTTCCTCTTTTTTTCTTTCTTTGATTTTTGTTCGAATTCTTTAAATGTTTTTTTTTCTCTCGATCTTCTTTTTTCCTGACAATTAAATTTAGAAAAATTAAA